AGGGTGAGGTGGTGAGAGGTAAGGAAGAAATCAAAAGAAGCAGAAAAAAACAACACCAGCAGCCAACAAATGGCACTCAGAGAGCCAGCTAGTGCAGGCTGGTGGAATCCAAGCAGCCGGTGTTTCTTGGACAAGAGACTGTGTCCGCAGGAAGCAGAGGGGCCCAAGTGTGGGTGAAGAAGGGTAGGGAGTGGGAAAGCGTATATCACAAATTACCGGAGCTCTGCAGCCCGTCAGGAAGAAGCAAAGATGGCACACGGAGCCAGGTATTTGAGCGAAAGGAGGGGGAGATGGTGAGAGGTAAGGAAGAAATTAAAAGAAGCAAAAAAAAGCAACACCATCAGCCAACAAATGGCACTCAGAGAGCCAGCCTGTTTGGGTGTGTAGAATCCAAGCAGCCAGTGTTTCCTGGACAAGAGATTGTGGGCGCGGGAAGCAGAGGAGTCCGAGTGGGGGTGAAGAAGGGTGGGGGTTGGGAAAGCGTATATTGCAAATTACCGGTTGTTCTGTCTCCCGCTGGAAGCTCCGTGAAGCTGCTTTCTCGTACCCCCTGTTTGCTGGTCTCCGATAGGAGTCCAAGATGGCGGATCCGTGCTGAGTTAGCTGGTAGGGGACCTCTGCATGAATCTCTCCTCACTCTCCATTCTCTGTCAGTTTTCTCACTCCATTTGGTGCTTGGCTGAGTTCTTTATCTCTTCATTTGATGTTTTAGAGTTTCAGGATTGTTGTTTTCTCTGGTCGGCTTACTTTTTTGGATCTTTGCTGTGGAGGGACGGCGTGGTGCTTCTGCCTAGAGCTCCATTTTGCCGGAACTCCTATTACAGCTATTTTGAAAGAGTTAAATTCCAGGCCAGCACCACCTTTAAAATAAAATTGTAAGTATTTCAAAATTTGAAGCTTATGGCCTCATAAATATAGAGATGGCAGATATTATCACGTCTTAGTGGATGGAATTTAAAAGACAGGACGGGTGGCAAATCTTGGAATGTCTGTATTAAACTAGGAGGGAGATAAGATTATTTAACCACCACAGATGTTTGAACCCAACATTTTTTTTTATTCTCAAATCTTAGGTATTCTGCTTAAACTGGGTTAACCACAGATATCTACTGGAAGTGTATCACAGTGGCTAAGAACTTTTACTCTGGACTCTGACTGTCTGGGTTGCAAAGCTGGTTTTGTCACTTTTACTAATTAAGTGAACTTGGGCAAGTTACTTAATTTCTCTGTGCCTCAGTTTCCTCATCAGTAAAATGGGCATGATAAAATAGAACAATCTCATAGTGTTATTTTAAGGAATCATTGAGACAGTATATGTACAGGATGCTCATCAACCTGCTGGCACATGCTAAGAAGTCAATACAGTTGGCTGCTATAAATTATATATAATTTCATATATTATAACCAGAGGTCTATGAACTCAAACAGCAGAGGTCCTCAAAGTGTGGTCCAAGGACCTTTAGTGTCCCAGAGACCCTATCAGGAGTCCCATAAGGTCAAAGCTACTTTTTTAATAATATTAAGATGTTATTTGCCTTTTTCACTCTCATTTTCTCATGAGTATACAGTGGAGTTTTCCGGGGGTTATATGATGTATGACATCACAATAGATAGAAACAACGTCAAAAATCCAGGTTTTTTTTTTCCTATTAAGTCAGACATTAGTTTGCAAAAAATGTAAAAAATGCCACTCTTCTCACCAATACTTTTTTTGTTTTGGAACTATAGTTTTCTTCATAAAAATGTTATTTATGTTAACATGTAATGGATTTATTGTTATTTTACATGAATTAATAAATATATTTTTAAATGTCTCACTTCAAATTTCTAATACTGTTAATGTCACTAGATATTACCCCTATAAACAAAAGTTCTTTGAGGTTCTCAGTAATTTTAAGAGTGTAAAGGGGGCTGAGACCAAAAAGTTTGAGACCACTCTCATAGAATACTGCTCAGATGAAATCAAGATGAGAGCCAAATCCAACCTGTGACGAAAAGTTTTCTCCTCTTTGGCTAAAGGTAAGCAGCTGGATTTATATAAAGAAATACTTTCCCTAGGGGTTTGGAACTCTGACTCTATTTCTTCATTTTTAAGCACACTGTCTCCTATTTTTCTGGCCAAGGTGGACTCAGTTCCCTAAAGTTGCCATAAGACACTCAGACTAGTAGCCTATGCCAAGCCCATGGTAGGGGAGTCGATGGACAGCCTCTCTGCTCTGAAAAATGTTCTTTGATTATTAACAGCTAATTCAATCCAAAGCTGATCTGTGACAGCCTGTCCCAACTGGGTGCTCATCTAAGCAATGCAATGGTTTCTCACACATCTGTGGTTAAGGACAAATTATTTTATTTTTAGTGGCTAATCCATCTAACTTATAAATCTGTGCTATCATTTGTAGGAAGGCCATGGAGGAACTTGTGCACGCTGGTGTATCTGTTGTTAAGGATCAGAGGAAGAGTGTGAATCTACTGATAAAGGAAAAAGAACATGAAATGAACGTCTACTATGGCATGGCTCATAGGCAGAAGCAAGAAGAGGTTCAGGAAGTGCTTCAAGAAGCAGAGAAAACACATCAAGCTACACTTGGAAATGTGATGGATAAACTGGTTAACACTCAAGGGGAGCTGTTGTCCATAGCAAAACAACTGGGAATCATGACAAATTGGAAAGATTTTCTAGAGGAGGAATTACAGGAAACCAGGGCAGCATTTCAAAAATACATCAATTATACTTTTCCTTCGCTTTCACCAGGGCAAGCCGATTTTATTCTGCCAGAAAGAAAGAAAACACCTTCCGATCTTGCTATTAATGAGAAGGAAATAACTTAATTAGAAGTCTTCAACTGGAATTTCACTACAAAAGATATCATTCCAAAGACCAAATAAATCCACTCAAAAAGCATTTATTGATCCCAATTATGTGCAGTGTACTACTGGGTTGTAAGCATTTCAGTAGAAGACCAAAGTATTCAAAAGCACATTCCAGGCTACAGTGAGCTTCAAGTCTAAATGAGGAGAGAAAACAGTGAGAGGAATCAAAACTGCTTAGGCGAGAAAAAGGTTACTTGGAAGAAGTCTAAACACACTTCTGGATCTGGCTGTATTCATTTCAGCATCACACATGTAACTATTTTAGTGTGTGTTGCAGTTGAAAACAAGTAAAGGGACATGTTCTTATATTGTTACCATTGTGGAGACGTGTGTTAACTTCCAGTATAGAGATATTATTTTGTGAACTTCAAAAGTATTGTAGATAAAAAAGAAATTTCCCTCAAATTCAGTAGGATTCAATTTAAATTCTGGAACCCCCATATAAAATAATTTAGAAAGAACCCTTGTATTTGCCAGTCGTGTAAGAAAAAATACATCTTTAGACCCCCTACCTCCAGGGAAGGGCTGTCTCTTGTGTTTATATCCAAACCCAAGAGTATCTTGAACACATCGCTTTTGGGTCAAAATGCAAAAAACTTTTAAGTACTGCAATACTCAGGGCAAACGCATTTTAACATCTACTAAATTGAAGAAAACCCAGGCAGTAACAACTTCTCCAAAAATCTATCCACTGTGATGTAACATACTTAAATTATTAATCACTGACCTATATTGGTGGTTTACAAATTTTAAACCCAGAAAGCAGTTTTCAGTAAATTAAAAGATACTGTTCTCAAGCAAGCCTTAGGTGGATTTGTTTACATTGACCATTCTGGGATTTCCTAATGGTACAAATAGCAATTTATTTACAATTGCATTAACGAGCTATACTCTCCTTAGCGTTTCACTCTCTGATGCTGCAGGACTACTGCAACCCAAACTAAGTGACTCCCTAGGGACTGGAGGTGCTTTACACTGCCTTTTCTTGTACCTTCTTCCCAAAATAACCTGTGAGACAGGCAGGGCAATGGTTGTTATTATTTCCTTTTACATATGGTAAAATAAAAACCATGCACTAAGCTATTTACATGTGTGAGATACTTTAAAAACATTTATAAACATAAATACTTGGGGATAAATGTGGCAAAAAATGTGTCAGACATGTACACAGAAAGGTATAAAGAATTGCTGAGTTGTATTAAATATGACTTAAATAGAAATATATACCTTGGTTATGGACCAGAAAACAGAATATTGTTAAGATGTTAATTATTGCCACATTGATCTATAGATTCAACGTAATCCTCATCCATCAAAATCCCGTTTTTTGAAAAAATGGACAAGCTAATTCTAAAGTTTGAATAGACAGGCAAAAGAACTGGAATAGATAAAACAATTTAAAAGGCAGAACAATGTTGGAGGACTGACATATTTTATACAGCTAAAGTAATCAAGACAGTATGGTATTGGCATAAAGATAGACATATAGATCATAGAAAAGAATAGAGAGTCTGGAAATTGACCCACACATATAAGGTTAATTAATTTTTGACAAAGGTGGCAAGGCAGTTCAATGAGGAAAGAATAATCTTTTAAAGAAATTATGTTAGGAAAATTATTTGCAAAAAATAAACCATGGCCCTTATGTCACACTGTATATAAAAAAACTAAAACTATAAAAATCTTAGGAAAGTATGAGAGAAAATCTTTGTGACCCTGACTTAGGCAAAGATTTCTTCAGTAGGATGAAGAAAAGCATGAATTATAACAAAAATTTCATAAATTGGACTTTGTCAAAATTTTTAGAATTTTCTCTCTAAAAGGCACTATTAAGAAAATGGAAAGGCAAGCCAGAGAGGGGGAGAAAATATTTAGGAAACATATGTCTGACTAGAATTTTAGGGCAGAATACATAAAGAACATTTACAATTCTTTAAGAAGACAAACGCTGCCCCCCCAAAAAAGATACGAACACTTCACCAAAGAAGATATTCAAATGGCAATTAAGCACGTGAAAAACTGTTCAAAATTAGTCATTGGGGAAATGAAAAAACCACAATGAAATACCACTACACATGCACTAGAATATCTATAAGTTTTAAAAACTGACAACTCCTAGTACAGACAAGGATCTGAAGCAATTGGAACATTCTCATACATTGCTGGTGGAAATGTAAAATGGTTCACTCACTTTGGTAAACTATTTGAGAGTTTGTTTTTTATAAAGATAAACATACACTTAGCATATGACTATTTGACACTAACCATATCACACAGCAGTGATATTCCTGTGTACTTAAGAGAAATGAATCCTATGTCCATACACACAAGTACTTGGACTCAATTACTCATAGCAACTTTATATGTGCCCCAAATTGGAAATCATCCAAATGTGAATCAGTCGGTGAGCAGATAAGTAAATTGTGGCATACCCATGAAATGGAATATAATTCAACAGTAAATAGGAATAATCTACTGATACATGCAACAATGGGTGAATCTCAAAAGCCTAATGATAAAATATCATCCTCAAAAGATTACTACTGTATGATTCTATTTATACGAACTTCTGGAAGAGGCAAAATTCTCATGAAAGAAAACACATCAGTGGTTGCCCAGAGCCAGGGGTCATGGGGGCAAGGGGGTCAAATGTGAAGGGGTAGGGGGAACTTCTAAGGTAATGGAAATGTTCTATACCATGATTTGGGCAATGATCACATTACTAACATACATTTTTCAAAACATATCTAATTGTACACTTAAAATTGGTGAATATTATTGTATGAGTATTAGACCTCACAAATCTGATTTTTAAAAATCATTCATAATTACCCCATCCAGGAACAAACCCTGCAAATACTTCCCTTCTAGTCCTCATTTGTGCATCATAGCAGCATAGTGGTCTGGAGTCAGGCTGCCTAGGTGCGACTCCTGGTCTACCAGTTTGTAACTGGCTGACTGTGGACAAATTCCTCACCAATCCTCAGGTTTCTTCATCTACAAAATGGGAATAATAATTCTACCTGGCCAGTTGGGGCGTGGTGAAGATTCACTAGAATGCTTAGCATAGTAGCTGAGATGAAGAAAGTACACCAAATGTTAGCTATTATTATTTTTCATCCCCACAAAAATAAGACCACAAGATATATACACATTTCTGCATTTCTTATACAGATCCTACAACCATTTATTCTAATTTTTAAAATGTACCAATTTCACTATATTTGTTTACTTCCATCTTTTTTTAAATTTTTTTATTGTATTTAAGATGAAGATTTACAGAACAAATAGTTTCTCATTAAATAGTCAGTGCACGTATTGTTTTATGACATTGGTTAACAACCCCACGACATGTCAGCACTCTCCCTTCTCGACCTTGAGGACCTTTACTTTGCTGAAAATATACATAGCCAAGGTTACACCATTTTGAAAGTTTCTACATGTACAATTCAGTGACATCGATTACATTCTTCCAGTTGTGCTGCTATTCTCACTGTCCTTTTCCAAATTATTCCATCACCATTATCTTCAACTCACTGCCCCCTAGGCTTCCCATTAAACCTTTTGAGTTGCTGTTGTCAATTTGATCTCACAT